ATATAAATATATATATATATGTGTGTGTGTGTGTTCATGTTAACATGTAGAGAAACATTTAAAAACATTTAGTAAATTAAATGTCAGATTATTCTTGTGACATCCAGAAGATATGTGAGAATATGGCATCATTTAAGGTGTTTAAGGTTGTTTTTGTCCATAGAATTTGTAAAATATGTGTAAATTGGGTATTTGTTTTCTATATTATATATATTTTTTATATTTTCATGATTAATAGTTTATTGTTTTCCTGCTAAACCAAACATCTGGAGGTATTACAGCCACAAATGTCAGAATTCAAACTGAATTAGAAAAGTGAAATGGACAATAAATAAATACATAAATGAATAATAGTCATAAACAAAAAGGCATAGTAACAAAGTGTACACTCTTAGTTATTTATGTAATAGATATTAATAATAATAATAGTTTTATGAGGAGGAAAACCTCATTAAATCTATTTTATTTTTAGTTCATTTTATCAATGAATCTATGATTTACTGTCTGTTTGTGTGACAGCGCAGCAAACAATGAGCACTGATGAGTTATAATCTCTATAAAGGTAATTTTAAAGAAACATTTAAAGGGTCTGTACGAAAGAAAATTAAACCACAACCTCAAATGTTTAATCCATTAGTTTATTCCCGTATTCACACACATGAACTCATTTTAAATACCTAAACTCTGAGTAACAACAGTCTCCGCCGTCTCTCTCTTTACGCTGACTTTACTCAACAGGAAGTCAGACAGAAAGAGACAAAAAGAAGCTCCGAGTCAGGGTTCGGGGGGTTAAACGACCAACCACATCCTCTCATCGTCACCGTGACGACGCCGCTACCACCAGAGGGGAATAGATGAGTGTGCAGAAAAATTATATCTGCCCTCAGTTGCAGAATATTCTCACAGTTAAATTAAAAGGAGAGAGAGAGAGAGGGTGGTCATCACAATGAAACGTACAGCAAATTACAGCTTATATTAAAGTGATGGTTGAGGTTAATATCTTTAAATATGAGACCAGATTTAAGGTCTTTTATTGGTTTTCTATAGGTAGAATGTCCCTTTAGTTTATTTGTGTTGTTTTGTTTTGTGGGACGGGAGCTCGCTCTTTCTCTTTTTTTATTTCTTGCCTTCGTCAGTGTTTACCACAGCAAACAGGCAACAGAAATAAGCCTGTGGAGACCAGTTTATGGCCTTCCTCCACACATGTTTGCAGTCTCTTTGTGAGGAGGCCAGGCTGGTAATGAGAGGTTATTACTCGGAGGAGAAACCCAGGATTTCTATCTTTCCTCCTCCTCCTCCTGCTGCTCTCCTCCATCAGAGATCCTCATCCCTCTTTTCTCGCTCTCTTTCTGTATTTACCGACTGTTTTCCGACGATATAACGCTGGAAAACATGATGCAAGTCCGTGTCCCGGGGAGGGCGTCGAGGTGTTTTGGAGCAATAGTGGTGTTTGGCTGAGCCGAGCGACCCGCCCACTGCCCACACTCGGTCCAGCTGGGTTCGACCCTGGAATATTTCAGGTGGCAAAACAACAAACCCTCTGTTTGTTTTGTTTTTGTCTGTGTCTAGATATGTTTGTGTGGATTTGGGTTGGAGAGATGCGGTACAGTTTATTGGTTTTCAAGTAAATAAGACGGTTGTGGACGTATATCAGGACCCCCACTAGGGGGTCACCAAAGCTTCAGGGAGGGTTGCAAGGCCTTCTTGATATTAAGGAGTGGACACAGAAGGCCTATATGTCAGCATTTTGTTTAATTCTGTGAAGAAAACTAAATTAAATTGTTATTTTTAAAGTTTAGTTTTATTATTTAAGATCTAAACACAAACATATGTAATATATATATTATATATATTATATTCACAGAGCCTCGTCCTGCATTAGAAAAGCAAACAACCATAGAGTTAATAGAACAATGGGTAAGTATCAAGAAGAAAACACTGAATCTGTAAAAAAAAAAAAAAACAAGCCTATTAAGTCTGTATGATTGTTGAAAATATATATAAAAAACATAATACAGACAGAGAATTATATAAAAAGTTCCAGTCAGTTTAGGTAATGATAAAAAAAATAGGTCCCTTAAGGAAAAAGGTTGGAAACCGCTGCAATACCACGTAATTTATTTGCCAGGATAAAAGTTATGATCTGCTGTACTCTAACTCTGACAAGGCACCAAAATCCTGAGATGAGATAAATTAAAACAAAAGTGTAAAATAAAGCCAGGCCGAACTGGAGATGATACACTTGAACTCATGTAATTTCGTAATGCAAGCTCTGACTGATCCCAAATTCAGTGTGGAAGTGGGCGGGAGGTTCCTCTACATGTCTGAAAAAGCAGAAAGTGAATATCTTGGTGAATTGAGGACATACAGGACTACAAACACAGAAGGCGAAAATATCAAATATAAGGGTGTGTGATGAATATATTCGTTTACTTTAAGGGAGCTTTGGCTGAGATTGTCCCAGAAACAACATCCAAGTGTTTTTTTAGAAAGGTCTGACCGAGCTGAATCCTCCAATATATGATATGTAACTGCCGCAGGTACAGTCAGAGGTCTGCATCAAGAAATGTATGGCGTTTGCCTTAAAAACGTACGTACATACATGGCAGGTCTGTGCTGAATTGGGAGAAAATACACTTCAGTATGGGAGACAAGTTATTGGAAGTTATATAAACTTTAAAGGGTAAATAAATGTTCTGGATGCATTCTGTCAAAATACACTTTTTAAATATGTTTAAAGGTCCAGTGTGAAGGAAGTTTTTGGTTTGTCCATTACATGGTAGCCTCCATGGACGACGACTATCTCTGTCTGTAGATTAAAACGTCTCATTCTAAGGTAAAAAACCTTAATGAGCTTCAGTACTGTTTCGGAGATGTTTCCACCCTGACACAAATAAAACTGCTCAATTTCCAGACTTGAGGATGTTCAGTAGCTGCACAAAAACTAATGAAATCTTTGTCAAAACAAATGAAGTTCAATCCCCTCGAGCAAGATGGAGAATCCCAACCAGCTTCCTGTGGAGCAGGAAATGAAAATGATATTTTTCCCCACAGGAAACATATAGCGAGGATGCATTATTACGTACATGTGTGTATGTTTTCCAGGAGGGTGAGGCGGGATGGCGGAGGGGGAAGAGGCCATGAGCCAGGAGGACTGGAAGGAGAAGTGTATGGTCCTGGAGGCGCTGCTCATGAAGTTCAGAGTGCAGATCATCAAGATTCGAGAACTCACTGCAGACAAGGTTGGTTCAAGCAAACTTCACTCTATCAGTGCTGGATCTGGTGTGGCCAACTGGTGCCAGTGAGGGAAAGTGTCTGTACTGGCTCCTTGATTCCCTTCCTCCCAGTGGGGATGCAAGGAAGAGACGTGATGATGAAGGACTTGTATTTACCAAAAGGGATATCCTCGCTGGTGAAACAACTGTGGCTGGACCCACCGTGGTCCATACACTATAGCTAAACTGTTCATTTTGTTCGGCACTTTGTAGATAAGCCCTCAGTTTCACCGCACTTTCCTCATACGTCTTCTACACTCTTGTAGTCGTCGTTTGCCGTGATGGTAGGCTCAACAAACACCATCAGCTCATAGAATCCTCCAAGAAGTTTAACAGGAGCATATCTCTAATAACTGTTGTCTTTTCTGTCTCTGGTAGCATCTCACCGACACTACTAATGTTGGTGATATGAGGTTGCTTGTATCCGTTTTAACTGTGATAATCTGCAGATTGTTAATCATCAACCTGGTTGTTCTACGATAACTTCCACTACACGATCTTTTCATCTGTTTTTACAAATTACTTCCATGCAAGTGATAGACCACTATCCCTGTTCCCTGTAACATTAGGTGAGTGATGTGTGACTGTTCTAAATACATGTACTTTATACGTTGAACGAATACTGACGTCCCAACAAGCACTCGAGTAACCATACCAATCCCTCGCAGGGCCGTTTCCAGACTTTTTTTGACTGGGGGGTGGCACAAGAGGGGCACTGACTTATACAGGGTTGGCATGAAGTATTGTGTTTCTGCTTTCCAGTTATATTTATGGACCTGAGTATCCAGAAATATTCAAATACACTAGGCGGGAAAAAATACAGTCCAAAACTTTATGAGATTAGCATAAAGTAGACATGTCAGCATAGGAGAGACTTGTGGCTACGCACAGGACCCGTTTTCATTCAGATATCTTGAGGTCAGAGGTCAAGGGATCTCTTTGAAAATGGCCATGCCATCACAAAAATGTAGCCTTCTTCCCAACATGCTAGCTGACATGTTTGGATGCATTAGATCATCTAGTTTCAGCCTCTGAAAGACAATGCCACCCCAGCCCCCCCTCTGCACACTGCCCTGATCCCTAGTAAAAGCATAGATGCACCTGATTACTCCTCGTTACTCGTGTCCTCCGAGATGAATGTAAGGGACTGATTTCAGGCATAGGAAGCATAATTATCTGAATGAAAAGGTGAAAAGTGTTACCTCGATTACAATCACTAGTCACCACAGAAAGACAACGGACAGGCGATCCCGGCACCAAAGACACTGCCAAAATTAAAAATAAAAAAGTTGTCAACATGTAAGTAGAGAGAGTTGTGGTGTGTCTGGCGGGTACAGAGCAGGCCGGCACTGGGCCGGCCCAAACTGCTCAGTGGCCTAGATCTGAAGCCGCTCTCCAGGGAGGCTGATTAGAGCTCTAATGTAAACAGCAGTCTGACCACAGGGCTCCGCCACGCACTGCATGATGGGATTGACCCAGCTCCAGTCAATTACAGAGTCAAAGTAAGCTCAGCTGGACGGCAAAACAAACTCCGGGAGAGACTTGGAAGAAAGATTGGCTTTGGTGGGTTTTTGCAGCCCACGTAGCACATGTGAAAGTCTCTGCTGCATATTTCTGGCCTTATCCGTCCTCTTTGACAGGTTGAATTTAACTCTGTTTAAAGCATTTTTCCACTTGACACTATAAAACACACCGTTAAAACTCAGAATAAGGCTCTGTGCAACTATAATGTTTAACCCTCAACTTTACCAGCTTACTTTTTTCCCTTCAGTGGTGTTTACTCCGTGTTAGTTAGCAGATTGAAGCTCAGTTGCGTTGTCTGAATTGTGTGCCGCTTTCAATTCAAGGTCTTTTTTAACCTGCGTTCACCCCCTCACAGTCTTTCTCGGTGCGCTGTAATATGTGCTCAGTGTGTTTGTTGTAAATCTGATGAAGAATAGCAGTAATCCTTTCATCTTTGCCACATACGGAAGACCACTGATTTAGTTCCCAAGGATCCAGAGTTCAACCAGAGTTCAACAGTTTCTCTCAAGGACCAAATACTGACAACAAATACTTTTTGGACCACAGATATTATAAGTTAATATTTAATATATTTAATTTAGCATCAGTTTAATTCCATTAATTCAAAAAGATTCAGCGATCCTGCCAGAAGTTTAGTTGGGTTGTATGAAAAAGCATCTGTAAATTCTCCAGTAAACCCAAACTAACTGATCATATCCATCCAAAATCAGACATACATTGCCGATTCATGCAGATACAGCATTTATTCAACCATGGCACAGTGTGGAAGCATTATCAAGGTATGCAGCCTGGATCATGATATTTATATGTATTTATTATTATATTAACATGCAGTTATTTCAGGTTTGTTGTTGTTAGACTGACCTCCTGATGCTATGAGCTCATCATGTTAACATCCAGACCCCCGCTGATGTTTTTTTTCTCCGCTGTGGCTCCCACTGCCTCGGCCAGAGATTGTTGTTTTAGAGCTGTGCGGGGGCGCATGAACGTCACTACAAAATCCCCCTAATATCTCATTGTGGAGCTAGCTAATACAAAGGATGAAGAAGGCAATTTTGAGCGGTGATTTCAACTGTTGCGTTACTATATGGAGGGCAGTCTGTATAATATGAGTGAATAGAGTCAAGACTCAGATCCTACAGCATCATTTGAGAAAGTTGTAGGAATAAATTATCAAACAAATGTGAAGATTCACATCAGTCATAATTTGTAAAAGCAACAAAAGGTCCTTATTTTGAAAGCTATTACCTCATTATGGCTAATTTCTTTCTGTAGCCCCAAGTCATGTTGTTTTAGAGTAAATACAGCCAACTAGTACTGAGTGGTTTTGCTTAAAATTCATAAACTATTCAGCCGAAGATGGTTCATCATACCGGGTGCTCTGATAGCTCACCCACTAAAGCTGGCACCCCATTTACAAAGGTTGTGTCCTTCTGTAGCAGCCATGAGTTGTTTCATGTCACTCCCCTTCTCTCTCCCCCTTTCCATCCTGAGCTATCCTATGAAATAAAGGCAAAAAGCCCCCACAAAACCCACCTGGCAGAGTCTGTGCTGTTTACATAATACGGAAATGAGTTTTAATCAAATGTGACTGGTGGTAAAGATGGATATTGTTTTAGTGACAACACCCTTTTTTATTGTCATTAAGATTTCTTTAAAGGACCAGTGTGTAAGATTTAGTGGCATCTTGCAATGAATTTGCAGATTGCAACAAACTTCGCCTAGCCTTTATTTGAATATTTCTGCATACTGGGGTCCATAAACAGTGTTAAAATTGCATAAATTGGGAATGACTGGAAAGCTTAGACACATACTTCATGCTGCCCCCCAGCATAAGTCAGTGCCCCATTGTGCCCCCCCAGTCTGGACACACCCCTGATTGTACACTAATGAAAACATATGAATATTATATTACATTTCTTCACACTGGGACTTTAAAACTCAGTATGTTTGATTTTAAATGGTTTTACTTTGAATCACAAATGAAGCTGTCTAATTGAGTCAGTTGAAAATGACTCAACATGGATCCGGGTAGAGTTGGCAAATTGCTGAAGTCCTAGAAAGCCTTCGGATGGAGAGGGGGGGTGAGGGGAAGGAAAAGAAAGAGAGAAAAATGAAGCCTTGTGTAAGGATTGAGCTGCCCAAGGGAGGAAATACCCAGTTTAGTAAATAGTGTGTGTGTTGCACAAGAAGTGAGTTTGCCATTTGAAGCACTCAGTGTGTGCATGTGTGTGTGTATGCAGATCAAGTCATTTACAAACGGTTCCTAACATAAAGAAAGTGAGAACTCGCGATAGATATGTGTGTGCGTGCAGCTGTTTGGGAGGGACGTTAGTTTTGGCCGTCGGGGCCTCCAGCTGTAACACTGGGCTACACATCTCATGATGGAGACAAAGAAGCCGTGTGTGTTACATTTTCTGTTTCCCCCGTCAACCTTTAACACACTTGCTGATCATTTTTGTTCTAACTCTGCCTGAGGAAAACCACGAACCTCACCCCTGTAAAGAATGTATCAGCATTTAGGTGTCCAACACTTTTATAACTCAAGACGCTTTATCAACATATTGTGGCAATTAGTTTATTAGTAATTTCCTACAACAGCTGGGAACTGTAGTGTTCAGCAACCTTTACTAACAGGAGTAAATGGTGCATTGGTTAGGGCCTATTTCCAGCTGCAGATTAATACACGTTTGGTATTTTAGTAAGTATTTACCATCAACTTTATGATTACATATGGACGTCGTCTCCGTGACGCATACCCATACGTTTCTGAAGAGCCATTTTAGCCTGGTTACTGAAAACAGCCACCTGTAACTTAAAGCATTTTATGCTATAACTCTAAGCCTTAATATAAATTAAACAGGTGAGTTATATAAAAATTCTCCCCCCGTAGAGTTTTTCTGAAAGGCAAAATTGGATATAGAAACCAAAACCGTGTTTTTGTAGGCTGTAAACATGCTTATTTCTGATGTAAAGTTAGGTATTTTAATATTGGGCCTTATTAGGAGACTGCTTTGTTGTTGCTTTGTATTTACGGCAGCAGGATGGTGTATGCTGGGATGAGTAAAAATAATTGGCAGTAGTTCCCAACCCTCTTTCCTCAAGGGACCCCATTTCTATCATTGAGTAAACTGACTAAGTGACATATTTTATGGATAAGTGGTTGTTGTTACTGGTTAAAATGGGCTCAATATTAACTTCAATATCTTATTAAGACTCTTTTAATGCAAAACATGTTTATCAACAAGATTATTTTTCTTTTTAGACCAAAAATAAAACTAATTTCCCAGTTTTCCTTTCTTGAGATTCCTTTTTTTTGCAGTGTTGGTATTAAACCTGTGTAACTGTAGGTCAGCACTCTGAATCTCGTAACATCTACAGAAAGGGGCTTTGTGAGCTGGCTGTCTGGCTGCGGATGGAGCGATGGTGGGTGAGGACGTGGG